GGCCTGCTGTGTTCCTCCAGCTCCTAACTGTAGGCCAGTTCATTTGACATCTGTTATTGGGAAAATATTTGAGTTTATTATAAAAGATGTATTAGCAGAGTCAGCATAGCTTCATGAAAGGAAATAATGCCTGATAAATTTATTAGAATTCTCTGAATAGGTAACAAACAGGATAGGTAGTAGGAGACAGTGGATGTAAAATATCTGGATTTTCGAAAGGAATTTCATAAGATACCACATGTTAGCTTAATTAAAATAAAAATCTATGGTGTTAGAGGTAATATATGAGCGTGGATACAGAATTAACTAATTAATAGAAGGCAGAGAGTAACTATTGGAGTGTCACAGGGATCACTACAGGGGCCACAATTATTTGCAATATATTTATGATTTGGATAAGGAAAGGGAATGTACTCCAGCTAAATTTTTAGTTTGGGAATGCAAGTGTTGAGAATGACTGACTCAAAGAACCTGCAGAGGAATATAGGCAGTTTAAGTGGGCAAAAACTTGTTAGACAGAATATGGGGAGGCGAATGCCTAGTGTTATTATCACTAAACTGTTAATCCAGAGACCCAGGGAATGTTCTAAGGACTTGGGTTTGAATCCTGCTATGGCAGATGGTGGATGTGAATCCAATAAAAATCTGGATTTAAGAGTCTAATGATGATCATGAATCTGCTGTTGACTGTTGGGAAAACTCATCTGGTTCACTAACGCCCTTAAGGGAAGTAAACGGCCATCCTAATCTGGTCTGTGACTCCAAACCCACAGCAATGTGGTTGACTCCTAATGCCCCTCTAGGCAATTAGGGATGGGCAATCAATGACTTGCTTAGCTACTGATGCCCTCGTCCTGTGAATGAATAAAAATGTATATGATGTTATGCCGTTACTTAGGCAATATTATTTAAAAGGTGAAAGGCAATAAAGGAGAATTAATTTCTTACGAAAAGAAGGCACTGGTCAGGTCACAGGTGGAATACAGTGAACAGTTTTGGGCCTCTTATCTAAGGAAAGATATGCTACTATCATTGGAGGCAGTCCAGGGAAGTTCACTAGGTCAATCATTGGTATGCAGGGACAGTTTGATAAGGAGACGGTGAGTCAGTTGGGTGTACTCGCTGGAATATAGAAGAATAAGAGATCTTTATTAAAACATACAAGATTTTTAGGGGTCTTTTACAGGGTAGATGCAAAAAGGTTGTTTCCCCTTGTGGGAGGCATAATCTCAGAATGAGATGCCACACATTTAAGACAGATGAGGAGGAATTCCTTACCACAGAGGGCTGTTGAGGCTGGGTTATTAAGTATTTTAGAGGCTGAGATGGATAAGATTCTCGATCAGTTGGGGAATGAAGGGTACAGGGAAATGACAGAAAAGTGGATGTGAGGAATGTCGGATTAATCATGATCCTATTGAATGGTGAAAAAGGCTTGAGGGGCTGAATGGCCTACTCCAGTTCCTATTTCTTATGGTCTAAAGAGAGAGATGAGGATGGATCTCTGAGAGGGAAATGAATCAGTGGAATTCTTTACAGCAGTGGGATGTTGAGGCTGGGTGGTTATTAGTATAGGTACTTTGAAGGCTGAAATTGATTTTTAATCAGTAAGGGGAATTGAGGATTGTGGGAAAAGGAAACTGGAGCTGAGGATTATCAGATCAACTGCAATTGCAATGAATGGTGCAACAGGCTGGAGAGGCCAAATGGCCTACTTCTGATCCTATTTTATCTGGTCTTAAGACCTAGATGAGGAGGAATGTCTTCTCTAAGAGGGGAGTGAACGTGTGGAATGATTTATTGCAGAGGGTTGTAAGGCTGGATGGTTAAATCTATCTTATTGAATGACAGAGCAGGCTGAATGGTCTGCTCCTGCATCTTATGGTCTCTGGTAGGTGGAATCTGAACAATAATTAATAGTAATAATGTAATAGTTAACACTATTACTGTACCAGGTAGACCACAGTGGCTGACCCCACCTTGTGAAGGGGTAGGTAGAGGATGGGCATCTCTTTTCCAGGAGCTCACATTGTAGGACTGATAAAGTAAGAAGGGTCTAGGCCCGAAACGTCAGCTTTCCTGCTCCTCTGATGCTGCTTGGCCTGCTGTGTTCTTCCAGCTCTACACCTTGTTATCTCAGATTCTCCAGCATCTGCAGTTCCTTTATCTCCAGATTCTGGAGCTTGTCCTCCTCAGCAGCAGCTTCCCTAGCAACCGCATGTTCCATATCACCCTTCACACCGAGAGAAAAATCACCTCGCAATACTTCAAAACATTTTCCTCATCAACCTGCCTGTAGATCAGTAATTTTACAGTAATTACTGTGTTCACCATTAATCCCACGTTGCTGCAGTTTTCTTCATTATAATTCCCCAAAAACTCTCACCTCCTCCCGCCCAATCCCAGCCGGATTGTTCCGCCCGGCCGTTACTATGGAGACCAACAGACGCTAGGCCTGAAGCCTGGGCCTCGGGTGGATTCGAGCTGCCGGGTGAGGAGCGCGGGGTAGACTCGGGCAGGACTTTACCGGCGCGGGTTCGCAGTGGGGTTTTATGTGTCCCGGGGGCAGGCGGACGGAGCACAGAGACCAATTTCCGCCAACCCACATACCCCACCCCTCTTCAACTCAGAGCTCTCCCCCCCCCTGAACCTCTCAGCCCCCCCCCCCCCATCCCCTTATCTCCCAAAGCTCTCCTTCCCTTCCCTCATCAAACTCTGATCTTTACCATGTAAATCCCCCAGAGCTCCCCTCACTTAAACCTTCCTGACCTTTCCCCCTTCTCCATATTAACCCTTAGAACTCTCTCCCCCACCACTTAAACCTTCCTGACCTTTCCCCCTTCTCCATATTAACCCTTAGAGCTCTCTCCCCCACCACTTAAACCTTCCTGACCTTTCCCCCCTTCTCCATATATCGCTCAGAGCTGCCTCCTTCCCCACATATCCCCCAAAACTCTTCCCTGTTATTCCCCCAAGCTCTCCCACGCAAATCCCACAGAGTTTACCCCCTCCCCAACAATCCCCCAGTCCGCCCTCCTCTTAATCCCCATAAAGGCTCTTTAACTTCCTTTCACCACATCCTCCTCCCCCTCTGAAGAACTCTCCCTCTTTCCTTAAACTTCTAGAAACCCCCAGATCCCTCCACCAAGAGCTCTCCAGTGGAAGCAATGCAGAGTGGTACTGAAGAATACAGACTTGAGTCTGACTCCTGTGACCTGCAGAGTTAGTTGTGATAGATGTTATTGGTCTTAGTGTTTCTGAAATAGAAACAATTAAAAATATATCGACCAGAATTTCTCTCCCTGATCTATACACAGTGAGTCCCTTTGGGCATGTTTGTGTATGTGTGGAGCTATTGGTAATTAGCTGAGCTCTAATTGTCCCAATAATCCAATAACCTAGAAACTAATACTCGCTTTGCACATTTAAGACTGAAGCATTGTACCAAGGAGTCGCTGATATCAATGGAACTGTGCCTTGATATAAACCAGACTGCAGCCCAGGCTTTTTTAGCAAAGTATAATGTAATGATAATGACTTGAATTTACATAGTATCTTGATGGAATAAAAAACTTAAAGACATTGTGTTAATTTGCAGTCAACTAATTCCATTAAGACTTGACGTGAAATGTTATATTTTCCTTATTAAAAGAAGTATTCATCGAATCCTGAAGATTCTGTACCTGGCCCATAAATGGCGACTTAAAAACTTTTCACAGTACTCATGTGAGTACTTGTGACAGTAAACTTAATTCAATTAAAAAAGAGACCATTCAGCCTATCAAGTCTGGGCTGACCTTCCAAAGACCATCCCACCCAGACCCATGCCCCCACCCACCCCATCACTGTAAGTCCACATGAGGTTTTCACCATGGCTAGCCTACCTAAACTGGACACAATGGGGACATTTCTTTTAGCCAAATCCACCGAACCTGTACATTTTTGAACAGTGGGAGGAAACTGGAACATCAGAGGAATCCCGCAGACATGGTAAAACTCCACACAGAGTGCAAACCCCCTTAACAAAAATCTAAAGATTTCAAACATTTATCTTTTCAAATTGAAGATTGTAACTTCTTCAGTGTAGTAATAATTAGCTCGCAGTGCAATTGTGTGAAATTATTTTTTAAATTCATTCACAGGATGTTGGCTAATTGAGCATTTATTGCACATTCCTATTTGCCCAGAAAGTAGTTAAGAGTTAACCACATTGCTATGGTTCTGAAGTCACCTATAGATCAGGACTGCAGATTTCCTCTAGTAAAGGGCATTAGTGAACCAGCTAGGGTTTTACAACAATTGAAAGTGGTTATGTGGTCACCATTAGCCTAGCTGTTTATTAATTCCAGATTTTTATTGGATTCAAATTTCACCACCTGCCATGGTGGGATTCAACCTCATGTCCCCACAGTATTACCGCAAGCCTCTGGATTACTAGTCTCATGACCGTACCATCACATCTCTCATTTCCTATGAAAAGTGAATTCTGTGCAAAGTACTTTGCATGTAATGTAGCACATTTAATAGCTCTCAACTCAACATGTAATGTTAATGCCTAAATACTGTTAACCTATTGCACCTAATTATAGCTTGTTCCGAATAAACATACTCTGTGAATAATTGCTTAAATGGGGCAGTACGGTTTTGATTGTCAGCAGTTTTGCTCGAACTAACTGAAATTTGCTTTATTTGCACCCACATATATTTTTCGAAAGGGCATGTGTTTATCATTATTATTTAGGTTTGAAACAATTGTATAAAATGCATCAAAATTCTTATTTCTGTCTATGTTGTAGCCATTGCAGATGGAATACTTGAATATGGAGGAAGAGGATGATTATCAGGTTGAAAATGAAGGTGAGGGAGAAACAAAATTCGAGCCAGAACAAGAATTAGAAATAAGTAAAGATAGAATTATTACCTTCAATATTTTTCTCCACAGCATATTGCTAAGATATTAGTATCATTACCTTAAAATAAATTGTAATAAGTGCATATAGGGGAGATCATTCAGTCCACCAACTCCTCTTGTTCCAGCTGTGTAGCCAGCTGCTTCCTGAATGACTGACTGACTGCAAAGTCTTTGCCTGTACTATCCCTCTGGAGGGCCAGCACAGGTATTGTTACTTTTTGTGTACCTATCCCTTTGTACAATACCATAGCCTGATGTCTCGTTTGCTCCAAAACATGCTGTTCCAAGAAACTATCCTGAAAATGTTTTCTTAAATCTTTTTTAATCCACCTTTGCCCATCTGATTTTTCCAATCAAAATATGATTAAAACTTCCCAATGACAATTCCCATATCTTTCTGATAATCTCCCATTTTTTCTTCCTTTACCTTTGTAGCAAATGTTTGAAAGCTTATACTTCATGCCCACAAGTGACTTGTCTTTATCATTTCTCTACCTAAACTGCTTCTAATTTCTGCTTTCCTGAACAGAACCTTTTATTTTTCTAATCTTGAGCCATATCAACTTTCAACTTATTTTTGTCACAATTTTAATCCTTTGCCCGCTATTTAGTTGAAAGCCCTGTCTACTTCAGTTATGAAACTTGTTAGAACATGAGCCAAAACATTATAGAGAAGACATTAGATGTTATTATTACAGACTTCATAGCAGGGCACTTAGAAATGTTCAAGGTAGTCAGGCAGACTCAACATGGTCCTGTAAAAAGCAAATCATGTTTAACCAAACTGAGGAAGAAATACGTACTCTGGATAGAGGGAAACCAATGGATTTACTGTACTTCATCTGGAAAGCATTGAATAAGGTGTCACATCAAAGATTTTCATGGGATGTGGGCCTCACTGATGACATTTTACATTTGATATGAATTACTTGGACCAAAGGACCAAAGGTATTATTGCTAGATTTACTGATCACATAAAGATATGTAGGAAAACAATTTATGAAGACAATGTAAGGAAGCTACGAAGGGATATAGGCAGGTTAATTGAGTGAACAAAAGTTTGGCAAATGTAATCTAATGTTGGAATTGTGAACTTGTGCTTTTTTGGCAGGAAGAATAGAAAAGAAACACATTATCTATATGGCAAAAGATCAGTGAGCTTTGATGTAGGGGATATGTATTCTGTTGTATTATGCAAGTTTTACAGTAATTAGGAAAACAAATAGAATGTTATGGTTTATTCTGAGGGAAATTAAATGCAAAAGTAGATAGCTTATGCTTTATTTATATATTGGTGAGATCACGTCTGGAATAATATATACAGTATTGGCTAGCTTATTTATTGCAGCATGTAAATGCAGTGAAAGCAGTTCAGAGAAGGTTTATTGGACTTGTGTCTAGAATGGGTGGGTTCTCATGAGGAAAGGTTGAATGGGCTAGGCTTATTTGGCAAAGTGGAGAAGAGTAAGAAATGACTTGATTCAAATGTATATGATCCTAAAGCATCTTGACAAGGATAGCCGTGGAACAGATGTTTCGGCATGTAGGAAAATAGTCATTGTTTACAGTATGGAAAGAGGCCTTTTAGCTCGTGTCTATGGGCTCATTAAGAACTTATTGACTCTAATCCCATTTTTCAGCACTTGGCCTGTAGCCTTGTATGATGTGGCTTTTCAAGTGATTATCTAATTACTTTTGAAATACTGTGATAGTTCCTACTCTACTACCTTTTTCAGGCAGTGAGTTCAGATACACAACACCCTCTGAGTGAAAAAAATGTTCCTTAATTTCCCTCTAAGCGCTATGCCCTTTGTTTTAAATCTATGTCCCCTGGTTATTGACCCCACTACTAAAGATAAAAGTTACTTCTTATCCACCCTACCTACACCTCTCATAATTCTGTACACCTGAAATGGGTCCCCCCTTCAGAAAAACAACCCCAGGCCATCTAGTCTGTCTTCTTAGCTGAAATGCTGCAGGCCAGACAACATCCTGGTGAATTTCCTCTGTACCCTCTCTAGTGCAATCTCATCTTACTGTAGTGTATTGATCAGAACTGCACACAGTACTGCAGCTATGGCCTAACCAATGTCTTGTCCATCAGGATCTCCCTGCACTGTATTCAGTGCTTAGACTAATAAAGCCAAGTATCCCATATGCTTTCTTAATCACCTTATCAGCCTGTCTGCTGCCTTCAATGATCTGTGGACATGCATACCAATGTCCCTCTGATCCTCTGTATTACCTAGAACTATACCATTCATCATATACTACCTGGCCTTGTTAGTCACCCAAACTGCATCACCTCATACTTACCTAGAACAAGGAGTCACTGTTTAAAAATCGGTGGTCTCCCATTTTAGATACTTAAGGAAAAATGTGATGGGTCATGAGTCTTTGGAACTCCCTTCCTCAAAAGGCAGTGGAAGCAGAGTCTGAATATTTTCAAAACAGAGGTAGGAAGAATCTTGATAAATAATGGAACGTTATTTGGATAGATAGGATGTAGAATAATCAGATCGGCCATGATTTTATTGAATGACAGAGCTAGCTTGAGGGGTTGTGTAACTTACTTCAGCTCTTAATTCATGTGTTTTTATTTCATAGTCCTGGTACTCAAGTATTTTGCTTCTGTCCTGTTTGCTAGAGTTCCATAACATCTTCAGAATCAGCAGCTTTTCTTTGGTACCTTTATTAATATTACAAGGGTCAGAAGCTCTGGTAGCTTCTTGATAGTTTTGTTCACTGGAAGTGACATTCATCTCATAATGATGTGGAGGTGCAGGTGCTGGACTGGGGTGAACAAATTCGGAACACTGGTCCTCCTTTCACCTGACGAAGGAGTTGCGCTCTGAAAGCTTGTGATTTCAAAAAATCCTGTTGGACTATAACCTGGTGTCATGTGATTTCCGACTTAAAACAATAAGTTTAAATTGATTTTGCATGTTGAACTGTCAGCGATCATAAGTTGTTTTTCTGAATGTGCAATAGTATAACTGGAGCTCATGTTTTATTTCTTCTCTTGATGTATCATTTTAGGCATTTAAGAATTCTTAATCAGTTTCAGGATAGTATTTTGGTCCCACGTTCACCAAAGTTTTGAAATTATGCAAAGTTGGTTTTGCTATTATGGCTTGAAAATGGACGACCTATCACAGAAAGACACTATTGAGGCACCTGAAAATTAAACCTCATGCAGTCCATCTGTGACTTCTCTCACATTGACTAAGCAGGATGACCATGATCAAATCAAGCTCAAAATAAAATCCATCACCCTTCTTCCTCAGTTAAGGAAAAGTACAGACCTAGGGTGCAATTAGGAGCATAGGAGCAGGAGTCGGCCATTCAGTCCCTCAAGCCTGTTTTCCATTCAAAGAAATTATGGCTAATCTGTGGCCCACGTTTATATACCTGCCTTTGGCCCATAACCCTTAATATCTTTGCTTAACAAAAAAATGATCTATCTCAAATTTAAATTAACAACTGATCTAGTAACAACTGTTTGTGGAAGAGAGTTGCAAACTTCTATTACCCATTGTGTGTAGAAGGTCTTCCTAACATCTGTCCTGAATGATCTGACTGTGTTTTAGACAATGGCGCCTAATTCTAGAATCTCTAATCAGTCTCAAGAGCTAAAGATCATTGAGTTAAATTTTTTTGACAAAGCAGCTGGAAGGGAAATGAGGAGCAATCATTTTGCAGATGTAACTATTTGAATGGTTGATGGAACTCGAAAGGCAATTGGTAGACATGTACTTGAAAAGGACTGATATCCAAGATTTTGGTGGAGACAGCTGGGGTGTGGAACTAAATTTGACAGATCTTAGAGTTGAGAGGGTACAACAGGGTAAATGATCTGCTCATGTGTGATAAGCTCTCCTGCCTACACCTGACAACAGCAAAAGATCAGTGAGCTCTGATGTAGGGGATATGTATTCTGTTGTATTATGCAAGTTTTACAGTAATTAGGAAAACAAATAGAATAATATGGGTTTATTCTGAGGGAAATTAAATGCTTTCACCCCATTGCTTATCAAGAATCTATTTACCTCTGCCTTAAAAAAAATTCTGCAAAAGTTTCATCTTTTGAGGAAAAGATTTCCAAAGACACTCAAACTTTTGCGAGAAAGATGTTTTCTTTATCTCTTTCTTAAATGTGTGGCCCCTTATCATGAAACAATGACAGCTAGTCCTAGATTTTGCTACAAAAGGAAGCATCATTTTCACAGAATTTTAGATTTCAATCAAATCATCTTGCGCTCTTCTAAACTCCAGTGGAAACAAATGTTGCCTATTTAACCTTTCCTCGTAAGACAACCTGCCCATTGCCAGTATTGGTTGAGTAAATTAAAAAATAAAACTGCAGATGAAGCTCAGGTCTGGAAGCATCTGTGGAGAGAAGACAACAGAATTAATTTTGAGTCTGATATGACTCTTTGCCATAAGCTTCAGAACTCTCAGATCTCCAGTATCTGCAGTACTTCACTTTTGTTTTAGTAAAGTGAGCCTTCTGTGATCTGCTTCCAATCACTTGCATCCTTCCTTTCACAAGGAAACCAGTGCGGTACACAGTACAGGCACGGTCTCACCAACACCCTAGCACAGACTCCATATTTTTACATTAAAGTTCCCTTCCAATAAGCAATATCATTCTGTTAGCTTTCCTAATTACTTGCTATATATGCATACTAAACTTTTGCAATGCATATACTAGGACACCCACATCCAACTGCATCTTAGATGTATACAATCTCTCACCATTTAGATAATATGCTTCTCTTTATTTCTCCTGCCAAAATGGTCAATTTCATATTTTCTCCTCATTATACTCCATTTATCAGCTTTTTACCCTTTCACTTAACTTATCTCCATCCCTTTATGACATCTGTATGTTGTCTTCACAATTTACTTTACTACCAATCTTTATGTAATTGGCAACTATAATTGCCATACCTTTGGTACCTTCAGGTCATTTATGTAAATTGTAAGGAGTTGAGGCACCAGCACTGATCCCTGTGGTGCATTACTCATTACAGAAAATGACCCATTTGTGCGTACTCACTTTAGCCTGTTTTCCCAAAATGTTACCTCCTACATGATGAGCTTTTACTTTCTGCAACAATTCTTGTTGTGGCGCCATTAACAAATGCCTTCTAGAAATCTAAGTGCAGTACATGCATCAGTTCCCCTTTAGCCACAGCACATTACTTCTTCAGAGAAGCTCAACAAATTGGTTAAAAATCTTCCCTTTCACAGAGTCATGTTAATTCTGCCTGATTATCTTGAATGTTTCTAAATGCCTTTCTATAACATCTGTAAGAGTGGCTTCTAACATTTTCACAAAGTCAGATGTTAAGCTAACTGGCTAAAGTTTCCTGTTTTCATTCCCCTCCTTTTGAATAAAGGAGCTATTTCCAATCTAATGGAATCTTCCTTGAACCAAGGGAATTTTGGAGAATTGAAACCAATATCTCAGTTATCTCATTAGCCCTATTTTTACAACCCCAGAATGAAGGCTATAGGACCCATGGACTTGTCAACCTGCAGCTGAAACAATTCCTTAGTGATTGTAATTTTCTTGAATACTCCCTTCCTTCTGTTTTCTGATTTACAACTTTTTTGGGAATGTTACTTGTATCCTCCATGGTGAAGACTCCTGTAATATTCTTTACTTTGACAGTTTCCTTGTTGGGTACTAGTTCCCAGGCTCTATCCTTAGTTTCTGCCCAAGCCATCTTTCCTCCTTTCTTTCCTCAGCCCAGGGCTTATGATTCTTCATCCCAAATTATAGATTCCCCCAGGTCCTTGAACCTTAGACATGAACTCTCTCTAGTTTCTCACCCATATCCTTCCTGAGATAAGTGATAGGATGGTTTTGAAAGAATTTAGACTCTACTATTAGCTAGTGCTAAATACAGTAATTATAACTGACAGCTTAGAACAGTCTTGGTTTATTGCTTTAGTTGTTCAACTGCAGCAAATCTAACCTCCTTTCATTACGACTTGGATTGTTCTGCCACCAAATGTTATTTTTATGACACAAATATTAACAATATATTACTGCATGACTACATTTTTAAATTGTTTCTTTGTTGCCAAGGCAGCATTATTATTAAAGACATTGAGCCCATTTCCAATTGTGAGATAGGAAATGTTACAAGTCACCATGAAAAAAAAAATTCACACTTAATTTGCAAATGGAAATATTTATTTTACACATCAATTCTGAGAACTTTACATATCTTTTCAACCCAGTTTATCATTTTCCATTTCTTCTTTTAGACATTTTATTGCAGAATTTGGTATTATTATCAAAATAAAAAAAATACAAATGGTATATTTTTAAATTTGAAATAAGCAAATTTCATCTTTGCAAAACAAAAGATTTTAGTAATGAGCCTTTAACATGGACTTATTTCAACTATTTCGACTATTTGAGCTGTTGCAAAATATTATAAATTGCGACAGAAGGTATCACTGATCAGCATATGTTGGGGCCCTGTGTAAATGATTCTATATTACAAAAACATGCACTTGGAATTCTGCAGAACAGATAAACAATGTAAGCATTGGGAGGTGGATTTATGTTTTGTTGCCAAGCTAATGAAAGGAGAATGGAAAGTAGTATTATCAACTCAAGACTGACTTACCACCTTTAGTCAGATAGTTCATAATCTCTACTTGCCTGGATAAGTACAACTGCAATAATGCTCAAGAAGCTTGACACTTTTCAGGACAAAGCAGACCCACTGATGGTCATCCCATCTATCACTTTAAACATTCACTCCCTCCATCACCGTGCATAGTGGCAGCAGTATGTATTGTATTGTCAAGATGTGGTGCAACAGCTCACTGGGGCTCCTTCAGCAATACGTTCCAAACCCAAAACCATTCTCACCTGAGAGAAAAAAGCCAGCACACTCGTACACCAATTTCTGCAAGCTTGCCTCCAAGTCTCATCATCATACATGGAACTATTTTGCAATTCCTTCACTGTCATTGGGTCAAAATACTGGAATTCTCTCCCTTAAAGCATTTTGGGTATATCCATACCACATGAACTGCAGTGGTTCCAGAAAGTGGTTCACACCACCTTCTCAGAGGTAATAAGAAATGGGCAATATATGCTACCTTGCCAGCGATGCTCACATCCCATAAATGAATAAAACAAATCACTGTTTTCCTATTCCCAGAGCCACGAAGGAATGCCTTGATCAATAATTGTATTTAAATAATTCTAAGCTTTCTGAATAGCTTTCATTGCCACTTTGGTCCATTCTACATAGCTAGTGTCTGATTTGGTGTATACTTGTTTGGGGGGCAAAAAAAGAAAAATTGATGTCATTCAACATGTGTGAATGCCTCAGCGGTACAATGGTCATGTAGATGCTCTGGTGCTTTAATATAAGTCTTGAATAAAATGTTATGTAGAGTGCACTTACAAGAACAATTTTGGCAGACGGTCACTTAAAAGTATTGGTCAACTGCCAAATAAATATTGGCATTTCTCTTTTTATTCGTAGATATGGAAGAACAATTTTATGAGTGTGAGGAGCTAGGTATGGAAAACAACGATGGGTTTTCAGATGTTGATGACTCTGAAATTACATGGTGAGTAGGTGAACTCAGTGGAGCATTGATTCAAGTTAAGCAGGTTAGTTGGATTTGGGAAACAGATCAGTTACAATCTAATTGGATGGTTGAGCTGGCTTGAAAGGGGATGATTGGCTGTTCTTGTTTCAATATATTCCTATATTGAGATAGTTGGTCACACCAACAATTTTAGTATTCTCTCTGGTTTTCTTATGCAACATATTTCAAAATCTGCTATATCAATATGGGCAATTCTGTTTTTTGATTATGCTGTTTTCCTCGAGAAACTTATCCTAAACTAAAACAATGAATACATATGTTGTTTTAAATTAGCTGCTATGGATTGTCAAATTAATTTTGATTGTGAATTTTCAACATTCATTGAAGCAGCCTGAAAAATTATATTTTCATCTTTGTTTCAAACTTTAAAAAGATACTTTTACTTTGAAATTTCACCTGCTCTTCAGTATTCATACTATTGAATTGGTTCATGCTGTACTGCAATATCTAAAATTGAAAGAGTAATATTTCTAAAAAAATACCAAAACACATCTATGAAAGGCACAGCAAGCCCCCTTGTCCGAGTGTTAGCATGTCCCAGGATTTCTAGAATAACCAAATTATCCATTTGGATTTCTGTAGGAAAAATACAAAATTAGGTTTCAAGCATACGGATGGAAAAACACTGAGCTCAAACCACACAGATAAAAGACGGAACTGAGAAGAATTAGTTCACTTGATGTTTTCTGTAATTCATCTCATTGCTTTTCCCTGGAGGGAGGCAAGTGTGCCAGCACTCCCACTAACATAAATGTGGGTGTTGAGTTGGCAGGGATATATTGCAAATTGTATCATAATTATAGGATAGATATTGTAAACTACAAGTGTAAACCTCAGGTGCTGTGTTATTACATGTACCAAAGATTATTATGTTTCTATTACAGTTGACTTAGTAATCAGAACTATTTCTGTTTAAACATTACACTTTTGTAGATAAAGAGGATGACATATTATTTGTTTGTTATAATTATACATTTTAGGACATATCTTACAAATTCTTGCTCCTAGTGCAGTTTCATTTGCCAGCTGTGCATACTAGATATTCAGGCACATATGTCAAAAGCTACCAGAACATTTAGCAACCGTTATGGTTCAGCTGCCACTCTCTAACATTCTTGAACACTGCCTCTCTAGCTTGATTTCTATCTTAAAGCCTACCACTTTAACCAGGTTTTTGGTTATCTAGACTAACAACTGCATATAAGAGTCATTCGGCTTAGAAACGGGCCCTTTGGCCCACCATGTCTATGCAGACAAAAAAACCGCCAAACTACACAAATCCCAGTTACCTGCACTTGGTCCATAGCCTTCTATGCCCCAGCATTTTAAGTGTTCTTCCAGATGCTTCTTAACTGTTGCGAAAGAACCTGCCTCCACCACCCTCTCAGCAGAACATTACATATTTCTAACACCCTCTGGAGGGAAACATGTTGTTTTTATCTCATATCTGCTCTAAACTTGCTCCACACCTTAAGCTTATGCCTTCTGGTCTTAGACACATCTGACATGGGGAAAATGTTCTCACAATCTTCTCTGTCCATGCCTTTCATAATTTTGTATACTTCAATAAATTCCCCCTCAGGGTCCTCTGCTCCAAAGAAAACAAACCCAGCCTATCCAGTCTCAGACTTCCTTGCTTCCATATTGTAAGCCCTGGCTAATGAATGCAAGCATCCCATATGCCTTCTTTACCATTCTGTCTACCTGTGCTGACAAAATTCAAGGTTCTATGAACTTATACATGGAGGTCCCTTTGTTCCTCAGTACTCTATAGAGATCTACCATTCAATCACAAAAAACATCCTGCCACCATTATCCTTTGCCTCCTATATGCAAGTCAATTTTGGATCTAGTTTGCCAACTTGCCTTGGATCCAATGAGCTATTACCTTTTGGACCAGTTTTCCGTGTCGGACCTTGTCAAAGGCCTTACTGGAGCCCACTTAAACTACTTCAACTGCACGACACTCATCAATATATGAAGTCACCTTTTGAAAAAGATTAAATTAATCAAACAGAATCTTCCTCTAACAAATCTATGCTGACAATCCCTGATCAATCCCTGCCTTTCCAATTGTTGATTAATCCTGTTCTTCAGAAACTTTTCCAATAATTTCCCAATCACTAATGTCAGATTAACTGCTCTGTAATTACCTGGCCTATTTGTGCTGCCCTTCTTGAACAAAGGAACCACATTAACTATCCTTCAGTAACCTGGCTCTTCATCTGTGGCCAGTGAGGTATTAAATATCTTGGCCAGGGCCCCAGCAATCTCCTCCCTTGCCTCCTGTAGCAGCCTGGGATACATTTCATCAGGCTGTGGAGATTTATGCACCTTTATGGCCACTAGAACATCTAATACCTCCTCCTTATTAATCTTAACATGTTCTAGTAACTCACCATCTCAGCTGAAATCCTCGGCTACAAAGTCTTTCTCCTCTGTGAATACAGATGAGAAGTATTTATTTAAGATCTCACCCACATCCTTAATCTTCGCACAAATTGCCCCTTTGGTCCCTATTAAGTCCTATTGTTTCTCTGGTCATATAGTCATAGAGTGATACAGCATGGGTAACAGACCCTTCGGTCCAACTCATCCGCACCAACCAGACATCCCATTTGACAGCATTTGGTCCATAACACGCCCAACCTTTCCTATTCATATACTCATCGAGATGCTTCCTCTACTTCCTCTGGCAGCTCTTTCCAGTCACGCACCACCCTCTGTGAAAAAGTTACACCTCAGATCCTTTGGAGAATCTTTCCCCTCTCTCCTTAAGCATATGTCCTCTAGGTTTGGACTCCCCACCCTAGGAAAAAGACCTTGGCTATTCACCCTATCCATGCCCCTCATGATTTTATAAACCTCTATAAGGTCACTTTTGAGGAATCTAATTATGGGAAGACTAGTCATTCTCTTACTCTCAAAATAATTATCAAATGCCTTGGGGTTTTCCATAATCCTATCTGCCAAAGATATTTTGTGACCTCTCTCTTTGTCCTCCTAACTTCCTTTTTAAACAACCCCTTACACTCTACTTTTGAAGGGCCTCCCCTGTTTTTAATGCTCTGTGCCTGACATATGCTTCCTTGTTTTTCTTTATCTATCTCTCAATATCCCATCTCATCTAAGGTTCCCTGGACTTGCTGCCCTTGCCCTTCACTCTTTAGAGGAACACACTGGCCCTGAATTCTCACTGTACTTAAAAGATTCCCACTTTCCAAATTTGGACTTATCTGCAAGAGCTGCTCCCAGTCTGTTTGCCAGATCCTGTCTAATGATACTAGACACTTAACTTCTGCACTATTTTTATCCATTTCCACATTGACTTTGAAACTTAGAGTTATGGTTATTATCCTTAAAACTTCTTGCCCACTGAAACTTCAACTACATGACTAGCTTCATTCCCTAGGATGAGGTCCTAGTAGAACTCATACTGGCACAAAAAGCACTCTTGGATGCACTTTAAAAATTCTACTCGTCTAATCCTTTCACATTAAGGCAATCGCAGTTAATGTTGGCAAAATTGAAATCCCCAACAACTATAACCCCATTTCTCTCATACCTTTCTGTGATTTGCCGGTATATCTGCTCTGCTATCTCCCACTGACTTTTGGGAGGCCTGTAGTATAATCCCAACAAAGTAATCAGCCTGTTTTTATTTCTAATCTCTACCCAGATAGCCTCATTTGAAGACCCTCCTAGGATATCCTCCCTAATTACTGCAGTGATGGATTCATTTATTGATAATCCAATGCCCCCACTTTTCTTGCATTTCCCCCTATTTTACTTAAACTTATATACCCTGGAATGTTGAGCTGCTAGTCATCTCCTTCCTTCGAGTCTAAGTGATTGCAATAGTATTTATTTAATAATCAATGCTCTAAGTTCATCCGTTTTACCAATCAAGCTCTTTGCATTAAAATAGATGCAATTTGACTTTCTGGATCCTCCATGTTACTTATTATGCCCATTGTTCTCCACCTACTGGACTGTTTTAGCATTCCTTCTATATCTGATTGAACCTTGCTCTCAATTTTACAACTACTCTGTGCCCCAACCCCCTGCCAAATTATTTAAAACTTCCCCAACAGCCCAAGCAACCCTCCCATCGAGGATTTGGCCCCATTCTAATTCAAGTGGAACCTATCCAACTTGCACAGGTCCCACCTACTCCAGAAGCTATCCCAATTATCCAGAAATCTAAAGCCCTCCCTCCTACACCATCCCTTTAGCCACGTTTTCAGCTGAGCTGTCTTTCTATTCCTGTAATGCATGGCTGTGAAAATAATCTGGAGATTACAGCTTTAGTCATCTTCCTGTTTAATCTACTACCATCTCTCTAAATTCATGTTGCAGGACCTCATTTCTTTTTTTACCCATGTTATTGGCACCTCCTCCCCTTCACAATGCTTTGCAGCCACTCTGAGATATCCCTTACCCTGGAACCAGGGAAGCAACATACCATTCCAGAGTCTCGCTTACTGCTACAGGACCACTTGTCAGTTCCCTTTACAACCAAGTCCTGTATCACTAAACCTCTCCCAGTCTCTTTCCTCCCCTGCTGTGCAGCACTGAACCATGATGCCACCAACTTGCTGTTGCTGCTTTCCTCTGAGAGGTCATGCCTCCCAGCACAGTATATGTTTGAAAGGGGGATAACGAAAGGGAACCTCTGCACTCCCTGTCTTGGTTACTAGTCTTCCTGATAGTCACCCAACGCTTTTCGGCCTGTGTAGCCCTTACTTGTGATGTGAACCAGCTCGCTAAATGTATTATCCAGAATGTCCTTAGCATCATGGATGCTGTTTAGGAGTCCGTCCATAGCTGCAGCCACTCCATGTGGTCAAACAGGAGCTGCAGCTGAACACACTTCCTGCACTTTCTCAGTGTCATAATTCTGTTTTATAGAGCTCCCTTGAAAGAAGATTTGAGCTCACAACTAGATTAACCATGATTTTAATGAATCATAGAACAGCATCCATACAGTGTGTAAATAGGCTATTCGGCCCAACTAGTCCACACCAACCCTCCGAAGAGCAGTCCACCCAGACCCATCCCCCTACCCTTTCTCTGTAATCCTGAATCTCCCATGGCCAATCCACCTCACCTGCACATCTTTGACAGTGGAAGGAAACTGGAACACCCAGCAGAAACCCATGCAGACACGGGGAGAACTTACAAACACCACACAGACAATCTCCTGAGGGTAGAATCAAATCCAGGTTCCTGGTGCTGTGAGGCAGCAGTGCTAACCACTGAGCCACCATGCCATGAATGGTACCGCAAACCCAAAGGGCTGAATAGCCTACCCATCTCCTAACTCCTATCAGACCATAATATGTAGGAACTAAAGTAGGCCACTTAGCCCATTGAATCTGCTCTGCCATTCAATGAGTTCATGGCAGATTTGATAAACCTCAATTCCACCTACCACTTTATTCAAATAACTCTTGATCCTCCTTCTGATTTAAAAATTGTCCACCTCAGCCTTGAATTTGTTTAACGACCCAGCCTTAACAGTCCTCTGAAGTAAAGAATTCCACAGATTGACGACTGTTTGAGAGAATAAATTCCCCGTTTTCTCTGTCCTAAATGGGCAACCCCTACTCTGAGATTATGCCCTCTGGTCCTAGACTCCTTCGCAAAGGGAAATAACCCCTCCACATCTAACTTGTCAAGCCCCCTAAGAATCTTATATTATCCAGCAAGGTGTCTTCTCATTCTTCTAAACTCCAATGAGTTCAAGCCCAAACTACTCAACCTCTCGTCATGTGAAAATCCCTCCATACCCAGGATCAAACAAGTGAACCATTTCTGGACTGCCTTCAATGGCAGCTTATCTTCTGGATAAGGAACCAAATCTGTTCACAGTATTTCAGCTGTAGTCTGGCTGATGTCTTGTATAGTTTCAGCAATGCCTCCTATTTTACACTCCATTCCCTTTGAAATTAAGGCAAACATTTCATTTGCCTATCCTGTTACCTGCTGAAATTGGATGCTAGCTTAATGTAATTCATGCATGAGGACTGCCAAATCCCTCTGCACTGCAGCTTCCTGGACTTTATCCCCATTTGAATAAAAAGTATGTATTAATTATTTATTATCACATATATCTAGAAAGATATAGTGAAAAGCGATTAGTTCAACTCTTTGATTCTTGCTGCCAAAGCACATAACCTCACATTTTCTCACATTATATTTTATCTGCCAAGTTTTTACCCATTCATCTAACCTAGTAGACTCTTTTCGTCATTCTCCCAACTTGCTTTCCCAACTATTTTTTTGTCATCTGCAAACTTGGCTCTAGCTCATTCACTACCAGCATCCAAGTCATTAATGTATATTATGAATAACTGTGGCTCCAGCAATGATCCTTGTGGCACACCACTAGTTACAAGTTACCAATCCTGGCAATTTCTGCTATTTCCCAATTCTGTCTTCTATTAGTTATCCAATTCCCTGCCCATGCTAATATGCTAGTGCCAACTCCAAGAGCTCTTATCTCAGTAAGTAGCCTTATGTGCATTACCTTATCGAACACCCTTGGAAATCCAAATATATTACATTGATTGGGTACTTTTTATCTATCCTATTTGCTACCTCCTCAAAGGATTCTAACAAATTTATCTGGCATGATTTCCCCTTTTGTTCCTTTAGAATGTCAGGGGACATTTTTATTCTATTAAGGGCACCAAAAAGCACTGTAAGCGGTTTGTAAAATACATTTGCAAACTGAGAAAGTTGTTGAGAAAACTGTAAGAGATTGTTTTGTTTTGAATTAAGAACATTGCTATTTGTTGTTTTGTTTTAAGGGAAGAAAATGATACTACTAATGTAAAAGGGCTAAGCAATTCTGAGAGGGTGCAGGTCGGAAAACGCCAGAGAAAGCTGAAGGAGCTTGAGATACTACATCAGGAAAAGGATGTGAAAATTCAAAAAATAAGGTACTGAACATTTTCTGTAATCCTTTAAGTGATCTGGGTGAATCATATTTTATGAATTGGGAAGAAGATATGCGTGTTGATGTGGATGTCTGCATATGAAAGAGTGAGATTTTTTCTCATGTTTGACATGAAATCTCATGACAGTATCTCTGTCATTTCAACATGTATTCCATTTCATTGCATTTTCCTTTCAATTAGAACCCATGGGCTGAATCTTACCATATTTGGCAAAGTGTAATTTTTGCTGAGTTTCTCTCCATGAGGCCTAACTTGTTTTCTTGCACAACTGTCCCAACTTGATCTCAAACAAAATACGACATCTCTGTGGTTCTGCTCTCATCTGATGCTAGCTTGATTCTCCCTCCATCTTGCTATACCTGGAAGTACTCACCAGATATCCTGGCACCTTTGGCATATGTGAAATTGACACCTCACTTTGCGGACAGAGACTGAGGTCCTGGCAGATGAGCTGGTCCACCGAACTGTGTTCAGTTTTGGAATACTGCATTCATTTCTGGTCCCCCACTGTGGGAAAGATGTTGTGAAACTTGAAAGGATTCAGAAGAGATTTACAAGGAAGATGCCAGGGTTGGAGGGTTTTGGGCTATAGGGAGAGGCTGAATAGGCTGGGGCTATTTTCCCTAGAGTGTCAGAGGCTGAGGGGTGACTTTATGGAAGTTTATAAAATCATGATGGGCAAAGATAGGGTAAATAGCCAAGGTCTTTTTCAAAAGAATCTAGGACCTGTTGATTACAATTGTTTGACTGGGTTCTAGTTTTGCCTTCTTTTTCATAATGTTCCTTTCATCAGACTTTAACCATAAATCTTTGGACGTACCAGAACTTCCTTTCATCTGGGTGTGGCTATACAAGTGCATGATGTCCATAATCTATTCCAGTGAAAACCTGTGGAAATCCAGGCATGCCAGTCCTTTGCATGTATACTCAATGTGCAGTTGCCTAAATTTTGACTTGACTTGAAATTTAGACATTTTTCTAGGTAGGCTATTACTTTAGAGCAACAAAAACATTTAAAATCCACTTTTATTTGAATAGGTCCCAGGAGTTTCTGATTTATCTGTCTAAAATTTGCATTTCTTGATTCTGACCATTTATAATTAGTCCATTTCATTTTGGTTGACTGAATATCCTGTTTTCATTGCATAGGATCATGGTATTTTCTGGAAGCGATTCCCAGTATATTATGGGTCACATTCCATCTTACTAGCAGCTTTCTGCATAAAAAAAAGGAGCTGAACTTTGCAAAGTCCGTTCCTCCTTTTTAAAATTCACCCTAGATGCCTTTCCACCCTCTGCCTTTCCACCCTGCACCTGGAAGCCTATTGTCACTTCCATGAGGTTTACAGTGTTCTTAATACAGTTCAATAGGTCAGCAATAGAAATAGTACTGTGCATCCACTGGATATAATCCTAAGAATTTATTTTGGACAGCCAAATGTTCACTTTTAGTATGGAGATTATAATACTTTAGATATTTGATAATAGCATGACAGCCAGAGCAAAATTGTTTGCCCTGAAATAAAAGGGTATTGCATTATTTGCAACATCTTGCAATCAGGCAGCTCATTTGCACAAGGCATGTTGTGAGGTTGGGAATGATCAATGGCAGTAATTAGAACATCTCACTGAGGGATTCTGACACTTTACTGCATCATTGCTCTTTCAGCTGTTCAGATTCAGACAAAAAAATTCTAACAGACGTCTATGAACATGGATATCCATATTACCAAATATTTATATTTAGAACATGGTCTTCTGATAGTTTGTCATGTTAAACAGTTAGCTATAGATGCCTTAGTCTATTTTTCAGATAATAACGTAAATTTTCATTTTACTTCCCTGTTAAGTCAGATTGTTTAGATGTCTGAATGAACTCAATGTTGTTTGTAATATATTTCTAAAATACATTTTTCTGTGTTTTCTTAAAATCCAACCTTTGTGAATACTACATGGTCTCATGCTAGAAATCATTCCCAAACCCACAGCGCCAGGGACCCGAGTTCGATTCTAGCCTTCCGTGACTGTCTGTGTGGAGTTTTCATGTTCTCCCCGTGTCTGCGTGGATTTCTTCCGGGTGCTCCGGTTTCCTCCCACAGTCCAAAGAAGTGCAGATTAGGTGGATTGGCTGTGGTAAATTGCCCCACAGTGTCCAGGGATGTGCAGGCTAGGTGGTTTAGACATGATGTGTTACAGAGATAGGGTCTGGGTCTTGGTGGGATGCTCTTCAGAAGGTTGGTGCAGACTCAATGGATCAAATGGCCTCTTGCCGCACTGTCAGGATTCTATTATTTTTCCTGCCATTTTGTATTTCAATATCTGGCATCATGCATATATGCTTGTTTATCGATAATGATACAGTGTAATTATTTATTATCACAGAGGCTTTATGACTAATTGTAATTATTCAGTTATTTTAACACTAGGTAATAGTAACAGCTAAAAATATACTTTGTGTATTTATGATATAAATAATCATGAATTCTGATTTCATATGAATATAGATCAGGGTCCATTTGTGATTTTGGCTGAGTATATGCCTGAGGGTTAACTGAACAAAATTAAATGATTGATCCTGTGTAGCTTTTTATCTAACTCAACTTAATTCTATTTCTTAAGATGTGTTATTTATTTCAAATCTTTACAGAACCTATTAGCAAAAGAATCCTTGTGATTAGATTCTTAGTCATGTGGTTTCAGTAAAGTTCATGCATGTGGCTACTTTCTATAGTAATTCTCTGAGGACAGCCCTCCTCTATTTCTGAAAATGTCCTGTAGATGTTTATATTTCTGGGTGAATCCAAAACTGAAAGTCATAAATATAACATACTAACCAATAATCAGGAGAAACATGGGAATAATGTAATGGTTAGAATGTTGGACCCTGGGTGCCTACATGGAGAACTTGAAATGAATAGTAAAGATGCATTTAAAGGAGAAGCTGGATAAGTATGCAAGGAAGTAAAAAATAGAAGAATGGTCTGATAGACATAAACGTAAACCATGACATTAAACACACATATACACAGACACCAACACAGGTACAGGGTTTTAAAAAGAACTGTCACACACAGGCAGGAAGAAAAAGTTATTAGAATCCTGGAGTGATTAAATTTTGAACTGAGACCACAGTTGTTCAATTGGTGACTGATATCCTTAGCCAATGCAAAATATATAGATTGTCTTGAGTTCTTGGTCACTGGTTGTTTCTCTGATTTGTTTTTTTTCACCAGGCACTGTTTTCAATATGATGAGGAGGAGCAGGGAGGAAAAGACTTTCAGTCCTTGCTGTTACAAATTTATCTCTTTTGATGAAATGGCAATTTTAATTCAGAAAATTTTGTTTATTAGTTTCCTGATCTTGCCTCAACCTGTGGGTAAATGATTGATGCAACAATTTTAGATACGTGATTAAAATCAGATGATGGAAATTGAAAATTGAGAATTTTATTCATTCATTTTGTGGGAAATGGGTGTCACTGGCTGGGCCAGCATTTATTGCCCATCCCTAGTTGCCCTTGAAGGTGGTGGTGAGCTACCTTCTTGAATTGCTGCAGTCCTTCTGCTGTGGGTTGACCTGCAATGCCCTTAGGGAGGGAATTCCAAGACTTTGACCCAGTGACAGTGAAGGAACGGCGATATGTTTCCACATCAGGATGGTGAGTGGCTTGGAGGGACACTTGAAGGTGGTGGTTTTCCCATGTATGTGCTGCCCTTGTCCTTCTAGGTGGAACTGGTCTTGGGTTTGCGAAGTGCAGTCTGAGGATCTTTGAATTTTTGCAGTGCATCTTATAGGTAGTACACATTGCCGCAACTGAGCGTTGGTGGTGGAGGGAGTGGCTACATATGGAAGCAGTGCCAGTCAATCCGGCTGCTTTGTCCTGGATGGTGTCAAGCTTCTCGAGTATTGTTGGCGCTGCACCCATCCAGGCAAATGGGGAGTATTCCATCACAGTCCTGACTTGCACCTTGTAGACGGTGGACAGGCTTTGGGGGAGTCAAGAGGTGAGTCACTCGCTGCAGTATTCCCAGCTTCTGGCCCGCTCCTGTAGCCACTACGTTTATGTGGAGAGTTCATTTGAGGTTTTCGTCAATGATAACCCCAGGATGTTGATAGTGGGGGATTCAGTGATGGTAACACCATTGAATGGCAAGATTGTCTCTCATTGCTGTTGGTCATAGCCTGGCATTTGTGTGGTGTGAATGTTGCTTGCCACTTGTCAGCCCAAACTTAGTTATTATCCAGATCTTATTGCATTTGGAAACATACTGCTTCAGTGTCTGAGGAGTCACAAATGGTACTAAACATTATGCAATCATTGTGTGAACATTCCCACTTCTGACCTTATAATGGAGGGAATGTCATTGAAGCAGCTGAAGATGGTTGGGCCTAAGATACTACTCTGATGAACTCTTGCAGAGATGTCCTGGAACTGAGATGATTGATGTCAAATGCCACGACCATCTTCCTATGTGTCAGGTATGACTCCAACCAGTGGAGAGTTTGCCTGCAGATACCCATTAATTCCAGTTTTGCTGGGGCTCCTTGATGCCAAACTTGGTCGAATGCAGTCTTGATATCAAGGGCTGTCACTCTCACCTCACCTCTGGAATTCAGCTCTTTTGTCCATGTTTGAACCAAGGCTGTAATGAGGTCAGGAGCTGAGTGGCCCTGGCGGAACCCAAACTGGGTGTCACTGAGCAGGTTATTGCTGAGCAGGTGCTGCTTGATAGCACTGTTACTGACACCTTCCATCACTTTACTGATGATCGAGAGTAAACTGATTGATAGGGCGATAATTGGCCAGGTTGGATTTGTCCTCCTTTTTATGTACAGGACATACTTGGGCAATTTTCCACATTGTCAGATAGATACCAGTATTGTAACTGTACTGGAAGAGCTTGGCTATGGGAGCAGCAAGTTCTCGAGCACAAGTCTTCAGTACTATTGCTGGAATGTTGTCAGAGCCCGTAGCCTTTGC